TTCTGTGAACTTGATCTATAGTGGAATGTTGATTTCTGAAACCAAATTGATGATTTGGTATAAGATTTTTTCTTTCTATTATTGGTTTTAATCTTTTTATTAGAAGTTTTTCAAATAGTTTTGACATCACCGGAAGGAGGGATATTGGTCGATAGGATGTCACTTCATTAGGAGATTTACCTGGTTTGGCGATCATAATTACTTCGGCTACTTTCCAGAGTCTGGGAACATATCTCAATCTAAAAGCAGCATTTATTAGGTGTGTCAGCTTAACTATGGCTTTTCTTGGTACATTTTTTAATAATTCTCCTGTTATGAGATCATATCCTGGAGCTTTCTTAGGATTTATATTCTCTTTTATCTCTGTTGATACTTCTCTAAGTGATGTCAATGTTATTCTTTCGTCAGTTTGGAATGGTTCTTCCCATCTCAGTTCTTCACTATCATTGTCGTTGGGTTTGAACGTGCTTTCTATACTACATCATAACTTACATACAATGAATTTGGAATTTTAAAATTGTTTGTAAACTTGGTACTGTTAGATGAATCTTTAATTACAATTTTATTAATGTAGTTATAGGCATTTGTTAACATTTTTGTTGAAAAATTTTCTTATTTACTATTTGGGGAGTCAATGGATAAAATGATTGACCCCATTGAAAGAGTTATGTATCTCTGAAAGAGTTCCAGAGCACTGCCTATAGATCGCGATAACACCGAGCTTTTATATTTTATATAACACCGGCTATAAAAACCTACAAAACTGTGTTTCTGTAATGTAATACAGTCTTTTTTATGAAATCGTTCTTATTTTTTACAAATTTACAAATTTGTATGTAAATAATTTTTTGTATCTTATTACCGTTTCTAATTTTTACAGTGTAGTAATTACTAGACAAAGCTAATATAATAAAAGTACCTAAAAGTCAAAAGCTCTATTTAGCTAACAAAAGTACACCCTTATCCCAACAACTTAATCTGATGACATCAATCATGTAGTGGGGATGAAGAAAGCGAGTAAAGGTAATCTTATTATTAACTTGTCAGTGTTATAAAAGATATGGAAATACGGTAGCTCCTCGGTCTTATACTCTTCCCTCTTTTGTGTTCATGCCTTGTAGACGACGACTGTAATTTACACTTTAAGAATCTCTACAAAATGGCGATAACGGGACACTTGGTGCGAGAACGGGTCTTATCTTTTGTCAAATATGGAGGCAGTAAATAAGTTTTCTTGAATGCACACGTCGGATCACCTGCAAATGCATTGCGAGTGCACTATTTTAAACGATATGGCTCGATTCTCACTGGCAAACAGCTTGGATGTGTAATAATTTTATACTATATTCCCTTAGCTTATGTTCAGTACGTGCTACTTACTTTCGACGTCGTTTTTCCTGCCATTTAATGTGCTATTCATATATTTAATAAAATAAAATTTTACTATCAAAACTGATCCTTTTTAGAGTTTGATCTTTTTTATTTAGCGTGTTTGTTTTGGACATTACGAGATACAGTTTGTATTTGTTATTTTGATACTGTAAAGAATATTCTTGAAACACTTTTTGAAGAAGCGTTTTTTATCTATTAAATATTTTTTTAAAACTCATTCCTTCTCAATGTAGAGGTTACGTGTGTAGATTTAATTATCATTGTTGAGATAATGTTGTAGGTTTTTCGTAGCAATATCTGCATTTTGAAGTAATGCGAATATTACAGTATCATCCTAGAATTGACCTGCACTCGTTGAGTTTCTTTGCTGGAAAATCTATGGTGTATAGTAGATAAAGCAAAGATCCAAGAACACAACCTTGGGGTACATCAGATTTAACTGAGTACAAGTCAGTGCATTCCTCTAGGTGTATAACTAGAAATTATCTGTTAATTAGACAAGATTCCAGCACACCATAAAATCTACGCGATAGATGGTTTTTGATTTTATAGGGTAGGCCAGTAAGCTAAATCTAATCAAAAGCCTGACATATCCAGAAAGATTCCTTAAATAGATCTTTCTATCTAACGGATTGGGGATTCGGGATTTAATCGCTCTCCATCTATATTGATGAACATACCTTGCCATTGAGTGCTCTTAAATATTGACTCTAGAGCTGCCGTGAAAAATTTTGGTGAAATATTGTCTCCTTGTCTAACTCCTCGACCTAAGCTGAATTTTTTAATATATTAAATAAATATTAAAATTTTCTCAAATCTTCCGCGTAATGTTTTGGAGGTCATGGTCTCGCTAGTAAATGATTCCCTTGAAAAAGGTACATTCCCTAACTGCCTAAAGACTGCCATCGTTATTCCTCTTCATAAAGGTGGAGAAAAATCTGATGCCTGCAACTATAGACCTATTGCCTTGTTACCAGCACTATCAAAAATTATTGAAAGACTTATAAAAGTTCGACTTATGCCCTTTCTCCTTAAATATAATATTTTATCGCAAAATCAGTTCGGCTTTTTGTCTAATCAATGCACTAGTGATGCCATATTTTCTGTGTTACATGATGTATATCTATCACTAAACAGTAACCTCTCCTCCGCCACCGTTTTCTGCGACTATTCCAAAGGCTTTGACTGCGTAAATCGCGACATTCTATTAAAAAAATTAACTTTCTATGGAATTCGAGGTGTATCTTTGAATTGGTTCAAAACTTACTTGTAGGTAGGAAACAATTGGTTAGAATAAAAGACACTGACTCTAGTTGTAGAGATATTGAGTGTGGAGTACAGCAAGGTTCAGTATTAGGTCCCATTCTTCTTTTAATTTTCATTAATGACATTACTTACTTGAAAATTAAAGGGAAACTTTTTCTATTTGCTGATGATACCAGTATTACTCGGAGCAACTCTAATATTTCAACGCTTCATTCAATTATAACCGCTGATTTGCTTATAATCAAGGCTTGGTCAGATTCCAACTTAATTAGCTTTAACGTGGATAAGATAGTAGCATTATCTTATAAAGGAGTCATTCAACCCTTGCTTTTGAATGAGAGCCAAATCAGTATCGTTAATTCCGTGAAATTTCTAGGTATTCTTATCGACCGTGATCCTTAATGGTCCTTGCATACTGACTCCTTAAGGAAGAAACTAGCCTCAGCTTGCTTTGCAATAAGATCTGTTTCGAAGGAACTAAATTTATCTTCTGTCAAAATGGCATATTTCTCATTGTTCTAGTCCCATCTTCTTCCATTTTGGGGTTCTAGTACAGCGACCCAATTTGATACTATTTTTAAGTTGCAAAAAGAGCAATTCGTTATCTATTTGGTCTCAAACAAACAATTCATTGCAAGACCTACTTCAAAAATCACGGAATTTTGACGCTTCCCTCTTTATTTATTTTGGAAACGGTTTGTTTGATTCGCAAGCATCTAAACATTTTTCCCGTTAGACCTGATCATGGCTACTCTATTAGAAATTCGAATTGTAACGTTTATTTACTGATCCTGTCCACTCAGCTAGTAAAGAATTCTATATAGTGCAAAAAAACTTTATAATCATCTTCCAAGACAAATTAAATCCGCAACATCTTTCATTAAGTTTCGTGAGATGACAAAAATCTATCTGTCTGAAAGGCCATATTATTCAGTTGACGAGTTTCTTAATGTATAACAATGAAACAAAATTGGTATTGTTTATAATTACATTTGGGTGTTTCAAGCAGTGGCTACAATTTGTTTCATTTGTTGTTGTCTGTACAAATTGTGTAAGTTATACAATAATTTTACTAATTTAAAATTATATTGTTCTATTTTTTTATTATATTTGTTTTTGTTTTACACTTTTTGTACTTTTTGACTGATTTTTTTTATCTTTGCAACTACTGTTGCACTCATACAGTCCTCGAAGATATACCGTCTCAGGATTAGCAACTTCAACGTGGAGTCATATGTCGCCATGTTACCTAATCCATCGGTAACTCTATAATCTTAAATAATTATAACATATTTTTAAAACTAAATGTAATTAAACATCTGTTAACGGGTTTTTACCCATATATTTACTCTTGGTGGCTACATTCATGTACTCCTAGACAATGATGATGGAACATGGTTTCCGAAAACGTTTTGCCTTTTTAACTTAGCCCGTTTGGGCCGTAAATATATACCTATTACAAAGGATTTTTAATTAATTTTTTTTTTTAATTAAAGTTTTAGAATTCGTTCATTTCAAATCTTTCTATACGGTATGGTACATCGACAACACTGTCGACAGCACTGTCGTTGGTTGGTGCACTGAGTATGCAAATTAACCGATTCATTTTCTTAGAAGAATATTTTTACGTCGCCGGTAAAATTACGCCCAGTTCAGGTTCACGGTATATACGGTAACGGGTGTGTGTGAATAACACTTTACTGTACATAAAAGAACGGCCATCACGGTCACCGTATAAAACCAGCTTTATTAAAAATTACGGTGTGATTTAAAGATAACAACATTTACCATCACTTTATAGTGCAATCTAAATATATAAATATATCTGTACGATGAATATTGTTTGGTTTTTTTCGGTCATTATCTACTTCATGTGGAAAGAAAAAAATAAGGAAATAAAAAAATCCACGAAAATAGCCATTTACTGATGAGACTAATACAGTTTGGTGTGTTAAGTAACACGTAAACACGTAACAATTTCTGGAAAACCCTTAACAATACCTTTCTCTCTAAATTACATTTTTCCTCTTTATTAAAAAAGTGTATTCTTCGAAGCCAACCCTGTACTACGTTGTGGGAAATCGAAAAATAAAAATGTTCCCTTTTATTGTTTTATATTTATTCAGTTGCTGCTCAGTATAGCGAATATACATTACTTTTCTGTTCTTTAAATCAATTGAAAGACCAAAATCTTTCCGTTACTTTCTAAATTTATCAATGCAGCGGTTGTGTGAATTGTCTATATATTGAAATAATAAATCACGAAGTTCGAGAGATTTATAGCTTTTTTTGATCATTGCGCTATCGCCTTTTCTGATGCCAATTTATTTTTTTGTTTCAGAATGATCGCCAGGCTGTTCCTTGTGCTTTGCGTCGTCTCCAGTGCATGGGCATTATGCCCGACGAAATGTACGTGCTTCTTGGACTACAAAGGACGAAACGCGGTGGTTTGCAAAGAAGGCGGAATGGTGGGACCTTTAAATTTAAACAACGTCAGTCTCGATACAGAAGTTATTAAAATAACTGCTCCAGATGACAATATGAATTCGCTGACGATGAGTCCGGTGTTTCAAAGCTATAAACAGCTGGAAGAGATACATATTACGAAATCGAATATACCCCAACTGGGAATGCATTTTTTCTACGGACTAAACAAACTGGACGTATTAAATTTATCTCAGAATAATATAACGCAGCCTCTCGACCACAACTTCCGTGGACTGTCGCATTTGAAGGAGTTGTATTTGGACGACAATCGGATTATTTCTTTGCCTAGCGGGACATTTAGGTATTTACATGGGCTTAAGCTTTTATCGATACAAAGAAATAGAATCGAGGAACTTACTCCGAGGATATTTTTAGAGATTAGTAAACTGAGAATGCTGAAGCTTAGCGGAAACAATTTGAGGGAGTTTCATCCTGAAGTTTTTAAGGATATACAGGTAGGTAGTTTTGTAAGTAATTAGTTATTTAAAAAATACAAACGAACGCTGTATATATATATATATATATATATATATATATATATATATATATATATATATATTTGTGATATTTAAAGTCTTGGTGCGCCAAGCAATTAATTAGCTAATTAATTAATTAATTAATTAAAATTATTTAAATGATATGATTATGACTCTATCACACTTTTTAATTCTCTTATCTCAGGGTTAAATTCGTGCTTCAATATCTATGCTATTACATGTGAAAGGTAAGGTCCAAAGAATACCGGAATAATAAAAAACACATATGATATAACACTATATATTGAAATAAAAATAATGAAATAATTCACACTCAAATGTTTTCAATCAACAAAATCTCATATAATGATTCTCAAAATTTTGTTCTACGTACGTGAACCTTCAAAATTAATAGTACAAACAATATTAGTTGCAATCTCAAAATCCAAATATTATTCTAAATATCCTAATCAAAATATTTATATCCTTTCTAAATTAAGTGTGAAAAATGTGTTATCCATGAAAGAAAAACTGCAGAAAACAAAACTATCTCTCTCTGATGATGAGTGGTCCAAATCCTTGTTATTTGTAGACTATACTATTTACTCTTGGCCGCTCCCTAGGTAATCAGCAATCTTACAACAAATTATTGCCAGTATATCGTCTTTAATGATCTCCTTCAAATGCACGAATCGTTCAAATTATGCTAGCTTCTTCTTGTCTCAATAAACTGAATCTCTCGTTGGCCTGAGTGAAAAATGACTCTTGGAATATCTTTTCTTTACGATAAACTGAATCTCTCGTTGGCCTGAACAGTGGCTCTTGGAATATAAGTAGAAAAATATGACTTACAATATTTTACTGGATCAGCTTCTGTCAGATACACTAACTACACGAAAACTCACAAACTTTCACTGCTACTGCTTCCTACCTCTGGGAAACTACCCGAGAACAACGGCCGTTCGTCTTGCACCCTTGGAAACCAACTGATTATCTTTTCTCTCTCCTGAATCTAGCTAAACTTTCATTCCTACATACCTATCCCATCTTTTTCAATCTCCGCCAATCAAAGCTCGTCACAATTCCCCATTTTTTCATTTCGATAACACACAACTTTTTACCTATAATTATAAAATTTCCTAAAACTTATTTACAAATAATATTTTTCTACAATTCTTAAAAACTAACAAAAACCTCTTTCTAAAATCTCTTCTATTGTCTTTAATCACTGCCTTAATGTATTTGGAAAAACCCGGTTCAATTGTCTTTGGATTTCACTTAAGATTATGCGGGTCACTCAAGTATAGTATAACAAAAGAAATAATTTATGCATAGCTTACACTTTGTTTAATACAGGTAATCCAAAAATTTAAAAAATTTCCTTCTTCGAAATGTTTGTTGGTTATACTTTCTGAATTATTTTAATGTTTTTTGAACTTTGAAATATTTTAAACAAACCGATATTACATATCATAACAATATATATATATATATATATATATAATATATATATATATATATATATATATATATATTGTTATGATATGTAATATCGGTTTGTTTAAAATATTTCATACATAGAAATGCAGAGCTCAAGAACATAAAAACAATACTGAAACAAAATGGATACAGCTCAAACACCATCTACAAAGCAATAAAGAAACAACGGAAGACCACACAAAACACACAAGAAGACAACAAAAATCAACCAAGAGCTATTCTACCATACGTGAAAGGAACCACCGACAAGATAGGGCGCATTCTCCGAAAAAAGAACATATCGACAATCTACAAACCGAAGCAAACAGTTCGATCGATCTTAAGAAACCCCAAAGATGCAACCAAACTGGAAAATCAGGGTGTTTACAAAATTGCATGTGGAACCTGTCACCAAACCTACATCGGACAAACCAACAGGAGAATTTCCGCAAGATTAGAGGAACACAAACTAGCAATTCGCAACAGACAGCTAACATCTGCTCTATTTCAACACGAGCATAACACAGGCCATAAAATAAACTTCGAAAGTTGCAAACAAATAGCCAACATTGAACACTTCAAAACAAGAACCATCAGAGAATCTATAGAAATTGAAAAAGAAGGTCTTCTTAACAAACGTGACGACTCCTTAAATCTGCCCCAAGCTTGGAAGTCCATAATCTCGAGACGCCAACATCAAACTGACTGCCTGAGCTTCGCTCCCCAGGGGGCGGGGCCTAGCGGCGTAACGAATACGGCCAATCAGCGACGATCCGCTCGAACAGCGCACGATATAAAAGAAGTGAGGACTGAGCGCAGCTCATTCAGTTACCGACTACGAGACCGAAGACAACGCACAGAAGATGCCAAGTGAGACCTTGGCGAAACGTCTGCAATTAAAAAATGACCAACGGATATTTTCCCGGAATAATTGTTCAACATATTACTCCATCCGTGAAACACTTCAAACTAACATATATATATATATATATATATATATATATATATATATATATATATATATATATATATATATATATATATATATATATATATATATATATATATAACAATTTATTGTGTTGGAATATCGGGTATGAGGTCTGTTATGGTTAAAAAAAGACTCTTTTTTCTTTTAATCCTCTATATTTCGCTGATTTTTTGTCAGCTTCATCAGGAGACAACTAAAAATTTGAATAAAAGTTATAAATATAAAAATCAGTTTGAATAAAAAGTGACTCACTTACATATTTAGAGTGGAAAGTATTTAAACAAGTTGAACATAATTTGTTCAAAACAGTACTGACAGTTTTTGTTAAAAGTACCTAGGTCACTAGTAATTAAATGTAAAAATATAAAAACAGAGCAAACAATAACAACGAAACAATTAAAACACAATAAAATTACACATTAAAAATATACAGGGTGATTTAAAATATAATTGTTAACAGAAAAATTATTTAGACATACTAAGAATATTACAGTAGATATTGCTCAACTGTCCCGTGTCTGCCTTGTAATTTACGTTTCGGTCGATAATCTTACCAGTTTTGCTATATATATATATATATATATATATATAATATATATATATATATATATATATATATATATATATATATATAAACGTGTGTTAATCACAACTAGTTGATTAAGTTAAAACAGCGGTCGGGGAACTTTTTTAATCATTACCCCAAAATATTTTTCTGTAAATTGATATTACCCCATGGCGAAGAGCAAAAAAAACGAAACCGCCTCTTTTTACCAACTTTCACATTATAACTCCCATGATAATTTTGAAAAGAAGACTATAACTAAAAATTTAATTCAAACATCATTTATTCAATTTAATAATGTAATAATATGGATGCATGGACTATTATCCTCTCTATTAAATTACATTTTATTTAATAACTATCTTCTAGGGAGCCGTGTCCCTACGGAGGTTGGCAATTATATTGGCTACTTTTATTTTTGAACTTGCTGCTCTAAACAAATCAATCGATCTGCATTGATGCCAATCACATGGATCCTTAAACCTTTCCCTGTATTATGAGTATCAAAATTTCATATTTGAAGCGTGCATTTCCATAACATAGTAAGTGCCAAATTATAAATTTTTCAGGAGGAGTTAAAAACAGTTTTTTATCGAACATGTTTATTTCTTATAATGTAACATACTGAAAAAGGGTTAGTTTAAAGGTATTATATAATACAAACATACCGCAAAGGAGCAATAAACACAGCTTACTTAAAAAAAAAAATCAAAAATCTGTCTAAGGTCAAAACGTTGTAAATGCCATCAGGTTTGCAAGTCAAAACGTTTTAAGTGCCAGATTTTTAACCGTTGTTTCCTACAGTAGAAACTTGCCCTGGTTGACCTAATTTTTCTTTAAAATACTTCTTGGCATCATCGTGAAGATAAGGGAGCATTTTTTCAATATCTGTTCTTTTTTTCTCTGGGAGACCAAAGTGAGTTCTAGTTTTTTGAAGGTCTATGATTTTAAAGTCTTCTAATGTAACTCCAGATTTGAGTACATTGGTCTCACTCCATCCAGCGAGCTCACTATGTCCTTTAGCCACCCTCACCGTACCAAATTTCTCTCTTGTAAGACGAAGCTGCGTAGCTGTTGAAATTACTAACTTCTTTGTGTTCAGTTTATCACAGGCAACGGTTTTGAAATCATAAAAGTCCTTAACCACCATGCACGAGAATGCATTTTTCTGGGCCGCACTAGTAATGATGTTAATAACATTCATCAATGTATAAGCCTTACACACTTTTTTACGTTTTTCTATGATTGCGAAATCTCTGTCGCAATTAAGGAAAGTGTGTCCTTTTACAGGAAATTTATGAATAATTTCCTCATAAACGTTATTTGCTAGTATGGTCAAATACATGGCGATCATGAACTGATTTTTATTTTGACCCCCACAATTATCCGACCACAAAATAAGCTTTTTCTTTCCGTGATTGCCAATTTCCTTAGTAAGATAAGTATATAAACAGGAGCTAATTTCCAAGGCACCCCTTCCCCCAAAGTCCTCAGTCCATAAACACATGAATCCCTTTCCTGTAATGGAATCGTAAATTCCTAAGTTACACACTGCAAGCTGTAGTGAATAGTACATTTCGGAGTGAGTTAATTGGGGAATGTACATTTGCTGCTGTATATCGAAGGAAAGAACATAGCAATTACTTGTACATGCATTTTTGGTCTCAGTTGACATTGCTTTTATAGCAGCCTCTGCTCTTCGATGGTGAAGCTCCTGTTCTGTTACAGCAGCTTTATCTCCTGATTTTATTTGAACAGCCAAACTATCACATGTGGAGCATGTATCTACTTTAGGCCTTGCAAAAGATAAGTTAAATTTTGATATAAAAATTTCATTATACCATTTTTTAATCACTGGTGGTTTGTTAGGCGACTGATAATCCGCACAATATTTCTCTAAAAATGCACGGTACATTCTACTTACGTTTAAATCCGGTGACAAGG